TGGCATCACAGCTCACAACAACCTCCAACTCCTGGGCTCAAGCAAGTCTCCTGCCTCAGCCTCCCAAGTAGCTGGGATCACAGGCACCTGCCACAGCGCCCAGCTATTTTTTGGTTGCAGCCGTCATTGTTGTTTTGGTGGGCCCAGGCTGGATTTGAATCCGCCACCTTAGGTATATGTGGCTGGCACCTCAGCAATCCGAGCCACAGACACCGAGAACACCTGGCTATTTTTTCTTGCAGTTTGGCCGGAACCAGGTTTGAATCTGCCACCCTAGGTATATGGGGCCAGCACCCTACTACTCACTGAGCCAGAGGCGCTGCCCAGCATAGCCTGGTCTTTATGATTCATTCTCCCCTGGGGATTTCGGTAATTGTTTCTTCTTTTTTTGAAATTTCTAGGCAACAGTTAATGCCCGGGCAAACCAGGATCTTGCTATGCTTTGTGAAGTCCGTGACAGCAATCGGCGGGCATATAAGATACAAGGAGAACTGAGGAACCTTAAGTCCAAAGTGTTTGGTCTGGAGAATGAACTTAGACTCTGTTGATAATATCCTTTTGGAAATGACCCCCATTTTAAAGAGGTCTACCTCCTGAAATCTGAGAAAAATGACATCTGCTTCCAGAAAGTATAGACCCAGAGTTGACTACAATAGTGAGATCCATTATTATAAAGACAGGATGAAGACTCAAAGACCACTAAGAAAGCTTTTATTGCATACTAAGCTTTATTTATAATTTCTGGGTCCTATGAGCTATTTGTGGGGGGAGGCCTGGACCTGATGCCTTACACGTTTTTGTTATTTCTCCTGTTTATGTTAACAAGTTTTGGTGTTTTGTTTTTTAAGAAAACAATGATGGGGCGGCGCCAGTGGCTCAAAGGAGTAGGGCGCTGGTTCCATATACCAGAGGTGGCGGGTTCAAACCCAGCCCTGGGCTTTTAAAGAAAGACAGAAAACAATGATGATGAAAACTTAGGAAGAAAGTAGGCCAAATGTCAGTGGAAACCCGAAAGAGATAAAGGGACTCACAAAGATTGCCTTTCTCCTAAGCAGAGGGAAAAGTCAGCACTTCATAACTTGTAAACTTGAGTAGGCAGTAATTACGCTATTTAACCTTCAGTCATGAGCATTGTCCTGAATTGCCTTTTTGGACAATCTCATAAAGTTTCACCAGAGGGCACTAGAGATCCTACTCTTAAGTGAAAGAAAACTAAAGGTGCCACTTTAGCAAGAGTAAATGAAATCAAAATGATACTTGTAAAATGTTTAACATTTTACCAATAACATGATATTTTTTAAATGTATATATTTTAAATTAACTATTTTCAATAAAGTATGTAATTGGAAATATTCTATTTAAGTTTTCTTTAATTTCTTCCTTTCCTTTCTCCTTTTCTTTTTCCTTGAGACAAAGTCTCACTCTGTAGCCCTGGGTAGAGTGCTGTGGCATCATACCTCACGGCAACCTCAAACTTCTTGCCTCAGCCTCCTGAGTAGCTGGGACTACAGGCAGCGACAACTCCTGGCTCTTTGAGAAATGGGGTCTTGCTCTTGCTCAGACTGGTCTTAAACTCCTAAGCTCCAGCAATCCACTTGCCTTGGCCTTCCAGAGTGCTGATTACAGGTGTGAGCCACCGAGTCCAGCTATAATTTTTTTTTT